TTCTCGTTTTTAGCCTTATCACAGAGTTATTTGATCAAAATACCATTAAAACTGTCAATCTCTTAACAAAAAGAGAGTGTAAGGTATCCCAGTATGCGGCCAAATTTCTCAACAAAAAGTAAACAATACTTACGGCAAAAAGCCAAAAAAGAAAAGAAAAAAGCTTCTGGTACATTTTAACACCAGGATAGAAACAACTGTCCCCAAGGAGGACAGAGGCAAACTGGGTCTTCCAGAGCCTAAATAGCACCTGAGGGCTTCCTTGGGAATGGCTGTCTTTTGCTGCACATGGATACCCCATTTGTGGAAAAATGACCAACCCCTTAATAAAGCAACTAGGGGACCAGAAACTAAACCTTTAGAATGGACCCTGACCGCTCAGGAGCCCTCCATGCCAAGTGGTCCTGTTGTCATCCCCAATATTAGGGACTCCAGACCTAAGCCTCCTTCTCTCCTTATGGCTGAGAAGCAGGGAACAGTCACCAGAATACTGACCCGGCTTTTGGGGCCAGAGATCAGCCAGTGGCCTATCTTTATCAACGACTAGATAACCATCACTAGGCTGACTCAGTGCCTACAAACACTACTCACAGCCAGGCTCTTAGTCCAGAAGCCTCTAAAATAACACTGGGACATAAATTGCTCGATGTTAGCCCTACTCCAGGCTAAGGCCCTACTGAAGCTCAAGGGATACTTGTAGATGAACGGAGAAAGGCTCCCTGTGCACCAGGCCACGTTTGTCTGAAATCCAGATCTCACAGCTCCACCTCGCATGCTGTAAGCCCACCTACACTCCTCGACCCCTAGCCAATGAGAACAGCACAATGGGACCAAACATTGCTCCAAGTCCCCCCCCCACCCCAACCTAAGGGACCAGCCATGGACAGGATGACAGCCTCAGCTCAACGAAGGGCAGGATTAGAGGGGCTCCTGCGGGATGCTGCAGTCTGTCTAATCCAGCTCACTGAGCAAAGGATTCCCACGTGGATCACTGGCCCGAAGCAGAGCTCAGTGTCCTCACTTGGAATCTTCCACTCATCCGGAGCAAGACGGCCAGTACAGACACGCCTCGCTGACGCGCATGCCCTGCCGCCGCCTGGAAGGAGAGGGGACTTTCCACCAGCCTCCAGATGTCCAAGCCTTGGGCCAGCGATCTCAGCCTCGAGGCAGTAAATCTTCAAGTGAGCTCGCAACTGTCAGTTCCCAAGCGAGAACAAGCAGCCGCCTAGAACCCCGTCTCCCAGAGTAACCCGACAGTGGATTGGCCGCCCTTCAAAATAACCCCAGCCCATCCGTAACACTCCCCGTGACCCCATTCCAAGGTTTTAACTTGGCACCAGGGCACGCCAGGGATTCACAGCGAGAGGGAATCTAAAAAGACCATCGGTGGCAGCTGGGACCCTGGTTGTTGTTACCATGACGGACACAGTGGGAAGCCATCAAGTCCCCGCAGGCCGCCTTCTTCCCCAGTACCACTTCCATGGCACGTAGGATTTTTCCTGGGCCCAGAGTCCAGATCTGTAAGGCCTACCCTGTCTGTGGCCTCCAAAGTCCACAGACCCACTCACCCCCACTTGCCTACACCACTATAATGGCAAGGGCCCTGCCCTAGAGAAGACCAGCAAGTAGACACTACGCCCACGGCAAGGCGCATACCCCACTCCCAAGTGCAGAGATGCCTCCAGGGGTGGATAGAGGCCTTCCTTCCAGGTCACAGCGAGCCTTAGAGTCGTCGCCTGGTTCCAGTCCCTGGAGCTACCCCAACCCATCTCAGAAGAAGTAAAAATCAATTTAACTATATGGGGGAAAGTCAATATTTTATAGAATGCATAAAGGAACATGAGCAGTCACCCTTACCTGCACACTTGTGAACACTGATCAAAGACATCAAAAGTAGATTCCACCAGTTAGAACTCAGTAGCTGTCCCCACCTACATTTAATGAGCCAGCTTCGAGCTGAGATTAAGTGGCTTACCTCAGGTCTATAATCTAGTCCAAGCAGTAAAACATGAGGTCAGTATTGCTATCGACAGTTTTAATATGCTAAGCAGTTTGACCAGAGACTCTGAAACGGTTAATCCTGTTGTCACCTTGCTGGGATTAAGAGAATCAGATTAGTAAAGCACACTTCTGGGTGTGCCTGGGTGGGTCGGGGTGTTGTGACCCAAGGTGGGAGGGGATGATGCTGGCTCCTGATCCTGCATGTACAGAAAGGGCCAGGGGCTTCTGACCCTCACCTGCACCTACGCAGAGCTCTGCCTAGGGACCACCACAGAGCAAGCCACCATGGCTTTGTGCCACAGTGTTCTCGGAGCCAGGCTACCATGGGCTGAAACCTCTGAGACTACGGCCAAAGGAAGCCTCTTCAAAGTGCAGATGGGCAACTTTCCCCAGCAACGGGAAAGCTGGCCAATACGCTCTCAGAGTTAGCAGGCAGCAAGGGACACAGTGTCATTCCAGGCTGCTGAAATCCAAAGACCACATACACCGTTAGCACTGTGTTCTATTGATCCTCGAAGAGCTACCTGTGGCCTTCTGCATACATTTTATGAGCTGTTTATTTATATCAATGAGTTGTATAATATTAAGGATTTTTAATTTGGAAGGACAAATAAGTAGGAGAAGGCAAATTTGCTCGCTTAGGCCAAACAAAGCAAGCAAGGCAGAGATGGCGCCTGTGACCTGGGGTCACCAGGGAAATGGCCAAAAATCATGACAAAGGCAGTGTGCACAGGAAAGCCCACTTCCCAACAAGGTGCAGCACTTCGTCAGCCAAGGCAACGCCATCGTAAACTTCTTTGCTTCTTAGCAGTATGGACATCAGAAATGCTTGTGATAGAGGGCAAAGAAAAAGACAGTAGTAAACAGAATGACTCCTTTGCAGTCAGAAGGGGGCCAAGAGATGGGCAGACAGAAAGGGAAGAGGCCAGAAAAGAACTGAGATGTGCTGAGTACTTGTCCCAACACCACTGCAAGAAACGCGACCCTGCGGACTGCAAAGGGATGCTAATGAAGAATAAAACTGAAGCCGGGCATAGTGGTGCACCTGTAATCCCAGCACTTGGGAGACAGAGGCAGAAGGGTCACTGTGAGTTCAAGGCCCACAGGGCCAGAAGGAGAATTTGAGGCCAGCCTGGACTGCATAGCAAAACCTTGTCTCAAAAACACAAAAAAAGAAAATTAGAAAAAGGTTAAGAGCGTCCATGTTTCCAACACTGCCACATAACTAACTATATAGATTAGAAAGAACTAGAGAGAGAGAAAAGAAAAGGATGCGTGAGAATTAACATCCTCATCTACCAAGATGGAAGATGTTTAAAACTGATGAACAGATAGTAATACATGCATTCAGTACTTTTAGGAATATGAAGAAAAATGCTAGCAAAACCAGAAAGCTTTTCATTGTTCCTTCTGGAGAATTAATCACTAGGGAGGGTGAGAGAGGAAAGAGCCTGCTGTATTTGTGTAAGTACTTTAGCACAATTGGGCTTTCCAAATCAAGTCTACTACTTCTGATTTATTTAAAAAAAAAAAAAAAAAGATGCAACACAATAAAACCCACCTTAGTGTCCTCCATCGGCTCCATGCGTAGATTCCAATCAGCCCACACATGTGGATTGATGTGTTCTGTTGACCCAAAAGATGGGAGTCCCAAGAGACGGGAGGCACCTGCGTTGTGGAGAAGCAGTAGACCTGGAGTCAGAAGACCCGCATTGCGATTCTGGCCCCGATGTTCTGAGCTGCACGGCCCTGCACGCATGTGTAGCCACTTGGCCTTTTTACCACATAAATCAGGTGTCCAGGTCCCAAATAACCAGCGAGACCAATAATGAAGATCCCCACCCAGCAATGCAAACTAAGTTCTCAGTGAAACACAAGGGACTTGCAGTCCAGGCCAGGGTGGGGAGAGCGTGGAAAGTCTGACCCGCAAGGTACAAAGGCCCAGGCTCCGGACTCACAAACCAGGCCCTGAGAAGAGTCCCCAGTCTCTGAAGAGTGAGTGTACCAAAGGTTGGTGCTGTCTAATGCCCATCCAGACCCCTCAGCCCACGTGACATCAGCAAGGGGCCCCCTTGAACAGGGCCTTTCCTAACTCTGGCCAGTTTTGAAAAAAAAAAAAAGATATACCTCCAAAACACTTGGCCTCCTAATCAAACTTACAAAGCCTCAAGGCCAAGAGCAGTCCCCAGGGCAGGGTCTGGTCACTACTGTCCTTACAGGACAGAAGTCAGTGTGCCCTGAGGCACACTGCCCCAGGCTCTGAGCAGCTACTGGAGTAAACTGTCATCGCACAAGCCAGCTGCCGGCTACCCCTGGCTGCCTGGACTCCCTGTCTCCTTCCTCCCCTGCAGAGGCTCAGGGGAAAGCAGAAGTCTTGCAAGTGTGCACCCCCGCAACCCAGCACCCAGCACCACTCCTGTGCGCGCATCCTCCAGGGAAGAGGGACAAGATGCCCTGGGAAGCCCTGGGCTCAGAGCACCTACAAGACCCCAGGCCAGGCCAAAGGAACTGCCAGTGGACCAAGACGACAGGCAGCAGGGTTAGTGCGACGGTTCTCTAGAGTACCCGAGCAGCCACTGCTCTCTGCATGGACAGCTGGAGGGAAAACAGCACCACCCAGCCAGCAGCCCAAAACAGAATTTCTTCTTTGGCACTCAGGAGCTGGCAAGGGCTAATCACTAGGTCAGTTCACACCACAATTAAGTTGATAAAACGCATTTAGATCTATGCAAACCTCCCTGAGACCTGCCGTTTCACGCGCACCAGGTAAGGAACCTGAGAGTGACGAAAGACCAGACAAAGGGGAAGCGAGCCAAGAGTCAGCCAGTGAGTAAATCTCATTTTCCTTCACTCAAGTGATTTCTATTTTATTTGTGTGTCCTACAGTTGGTGATGAAGTTGTTTGCTTGTCCTCTCTTTGGGGAATTCTTTTGTCCAGCAAATAATTCTCCATCATTTGCTTTCAAAAGTACTGTGCAACTTCTAAATAATTTTTAAAGTCAAGCTAACACTGCCAACTCCCTCTGGTGAGTGCTTTCTGTGGCGCCCACAGAAGGCTGGCTGTACTGCCCAGGGCCTGCCTGGGAGACGGGCCTGTACACCTTGTGCCCCGAAGCATCCACCTCCTCAAAGACGTAGCCAGGGGGCTCGGGGTACGAGGCTGGGCACCTGCCCATTTCTTTGGGAGTAAAGCTGATGGCATAGGTGGTCTGGCCCTCCAGGGGAATATTCCCTCGAGGGCCGGGCCACATGGGCTTGCAGCTTCTGGTATTGGCAGGTAGGTGGGGCACGTAGTGGGCCTTCGTGGTGGTCAGGCATTCCAGGGGCTCAGTGGGGCAGCTCAGCTGGGGAAGGGGCTTGACCATCTCTGTCCGTGCGCTGGTCCACTGCTTGTAGTCCTCTCTGGTGGTGGTGGAGCCTTCAAAGCAGCTGCTCTTCTTCACTGGGAGCACCGGCCGGCAGGACTGAGCAGGAGCGCCCTTAGGGTAGGTGTAGTGGGACTGCGTGGTGGTGAGAAGGTCCATCTTCTCTTCAGGAGGGACATAGGCGGCAGGGGCCCTGGAGAACACCTGGGGTGTGGGCCAGGCTTGAAACTTGTCCCGAAACTCCGTGGTGGTAGAGAAAGGAGCCTCCAGCCCAGGGCCCCTGGCTGGAGGCTTCAGGCTCTTCGCAGGCTCCCCTAGCAGGCCCTGAAAGGATTCTTTGTGGGTGGTAAGGCTCTCAAAGGGGACTTCGCAGGGTCTGAACTTCTCTGCCTCATACACGAAGCGCTTCTCCACGGGGTGTGGCACGTAGCTCATCTTGTAGCTGGTCAGGTCCTCCAGGCGGACGCTGCAGAGCTTCGGCATGGGGGGGGGCTTGCAGCTTCTGGTGGTCACGAGGCCCTTCATGGGGTAGTCATCCTGGTGGGTGGTTCTGCTGTCAAACTTGGACGCTGGCCGGTAATGGTGTGGTGGACGGAGCAGCTCCTGTCTTGGCTGGTTCCAAGGTATATAATCAGCTAAAATTAAAGCAGAAGTACTTAGTGCTAAATTAGATCCATAGAGTATAAGACCCCAGAGCCTGAAGCCAATGAGGTCATCTCTGAGACCCAGGGAGAACAGAGTAGACCCTGTCACCATCTCAACAAGCTACAAGCTTCAACCTCACAGCATAGAGGCAAATCTATACAAGATTTCATCTCTCCACAAGGCTGCACGCGGGGATCTTAGAGACTGCATACTCACGGGAGGACCTAGAGGGCCCGGCCAGGAAGCAAAGCCAGCCTGGCTCATGTGACCCAAGGGCAGCTCCTGTCCCGTGGGGAGGGTGCCCTCTTTAATCAGCACAGAGTGATCACGAAGACGCATGTGGGGAGTGAGACAGAGGACCCAGAGCCCACCACGAGTGGGCCATCTGCCCCACCCCGCCGGTCTGCCTGATCACCTGCAAGGTGACAACCTTGAGTCTCTGGGACCCTCATGTCTGAGCCCCATAAATCAAATACGCAGGTCCACAGGAAAAAATGTGTTATGCTGGCTGGTAAGAAGAAAATAGTAGCTTCACTTGCATAAAATGCGCAAGGCAGTGGCCTAAGCGCCTGAAGTATTAATTCATTTGATCTTCAGATGGCCCTAATAGAGCGAGAGCTAAATACCCGCCTTAGAGGCAGACACAGAGGCAGCAGCATGGTGGGACTTCCCCAGCTCGCCCAGCTGGTAGGAAAGCACAGTCACGCTCAGATCCTGAGCCCGCACTACGCAGCCCACTTCCTGATTTAACAAAGAGCAGATGTGTGCCAGCCGGGCGTGTGCCAAGCCCTTCCACACACGACCTTACTCCATCTTCCCAGCGACCTTCACAGTGGCGCGAGCACCTCTGCAGCACAGGATTCCTAAGGCAAGATTCGGAGAAGCCGAGGAATGTGCCCAAAGCCACACAGCCACTGTCACAGCTATGAGAGTCAGGAACTGAAGTGTAAGCCTTCGACGTGACTCCAAAGTCGCGCTCTTCCAACAGCCTGCTTCGTAATTACTGACACTATTTCTAGAGAGTAAAGCATAGGAGAGTAACAACCCTGGCTAAATATTTGGAGGAGGAGATGTTCCGAATGTTTGAAGAATCAAAATGATTGGCCAGCTCTGTCTATTCTTGACCATCCCAAGAATAATCTCTGCTGTGGAGCTGGGATGGCCAAGACGAAGGGAGACCTGGACCTGGAGCACATCTGCACTAGAGATGGCGCCTGAGGAGCCACTGGCACTGTCCTCGGACAGCCCTGCAGGAGTCTGCGAAGCGGCCTCCCCGGGGCGAGCTCTGGGCGGCTCTGAGACACAGACCACAGCGGGTAAGCGGGAGCTATGAGCCCTGCGCTTCGCCCACTTTACCTGCCGCCTGCTCCCGTGACACTCAGCTCCCAGCCCAGCCCCAGACGGCCTCACTGTGCCCATAAATTACCAAGCCTGGAGAAGCCGGCAAGAGCCTAGTGAACCCCTGAATCCACAGGGAATCCTTTACAGCTTTACCGAGAACAGCAGCGACTTCCCAGGAGCCCGGAGGTTCGTCTCAAGGTCAGCAAAGATGTAGGCACGTATTTAACAGTTCTATTGAGATACAATTTGCATGAAACACACCTTTTAAGAAACTTTTGCCTAACCTACAATACTATTGGTTTTCGGTAATTTAGCTCTCACATCTGGGTCTTCGTTCTGCGGGTGGGGTGCCCGTGTTCTGTTTGGTGGTGGTGGTGGTGGTGGTGACAGTGGTGCTAGGGACCGAAAACTGGGCCGCGTAACCGCCGCACGGCGCTGCACCCGAGCTGTGCCGCCCAGCCCTCCCTCCTCTGGCTTCCTAGTGAGGTATGAGGTTGCGCATATGGATCTCCAACTGTCTCGGCACCATTTAGTAAAAAGAACGTCCTCTGTCACACTACAGTGCCCTGGCACCTCTGTGGAAAGTGTGGCAATAAATCTGAAGGCTTGTTTCTGTGCTCTTAGTTCAGTTCCAGTATCGCTTTATTTACCAGGATGTCAGTACACACGGTCCTAACTACTGCTACTTTATAGTAAAGCTCTAAAATCAGGAAGTTATACAACTGTGTTCTATCAAAAAAAAATTACTCTGGTTTATCTTAACTTAACACACAAAATTTAGGATTTGCCCTATTGTTGAAAACCATGCTCCTAGGACTTTGGTAAGGATGGCACTGAAGCTACAGATCAGTCTGCAAGGAGTGCCGTGCAGCCCCGGAGCAGGATTAAATCTCTCAATCTGTGAACACAGAGCGTCTTACCATCTGCACTCTGATAATTTTCAGTGTACAAATTCTGCACTTATTTTCTTAAACTTATCGCAAGTATTTTATTCATTTTCAGACTATCAGGGAAGAACTTTTCCCGACAATAACAAGGGTGGGGGGTCACCGAGGCTCACACTCAGGACCTCATGCATACCAGGCACCCGCTCTGCCACTGGGCTGCATCCCTGATGCCTGAGCGCTGTTTTCTTTACTTCATTTTGATTGTCAATGCCAGTGTATAGAAATGCAATTGACTTTAATATATTACTCTTCAATATTGTTACCTTGATAAACTCCACAAGTTCCAATAGTTTTTTACAGATTCTTTAGGATTATCTGCATACGGTGCTGTTGTCTGAGGAGAAACACAAGCTTATGTCTTACTCTCTAACCTAGAAGCACTTGCTTAGTGGCTTTCCTTGTGTTACCGCATTAGATAGAAGCTCCGAGCCCGTGCCGAGTGAAGTGGGAAGAGCCAAGAGTCCGCCTGCCTGCTCTTCACCGTAGCAGAAGGGCCTCTGGCCTCCGCACAGGAAGGAAGACACGAGCTGCACAACTCCCTGCTCATGTTCTTTATTGAGCAAAGGAAGTTCCTTCTATGCCCAGCTTGCTGAGAGCTGTTAGGCTATCCTGTCAGTGTTTTTTCTATCAATTGTGTTTCCTGTCTTTTACATTAATGTGGTTCATTACACTAATTGATTTGCTGATATTACATCAACCTTGCCTTCCTGAAACAAACCTCACAGCTTTATCGTTTATTCTGTAATAGCCTTTTAAATTTATAGGAAAAACAGAGAAAGAGTACATTTACATAGTTACAGTCACAAGTTCTCTGCCTCACTGCATGGATTTGTGTCACCTAATCTCATTTCCTTTCAGCCTGAAGTTTTTCCTTTAGTATTTTTTCTAAGACAAGTCACATACTTATCCCACTAGTATCTCTGTCTCTCCTCTCCTCCCCTCTCCTCTCCTCCCCTTCCCTCCCCTCCCCTCCCCTCCTCTTCGCTTCTCTTCTCTTCTCTTTTCTCTCTCTCTCTCTCTTTCTCTCTCTCTCTCTCTCTCTCTCTCTCTCTCTCTCTTTATTTTGACCTCAATGTTTTGTTTTGTTTTTTCTGTATTTTTAGGGAAGGGTCTACAGAGCATTCAGGGTCTTACCACTAGATTGGACTTATAGTGACCCACCTGTTTATAGCCTCCCAAGAGCTGGGATTACGGGCACAGGCCACCACGTCCAGTCTCAATTGCTGGCTCAGCGCGCCCTGGGGGCAGGGCCCGCATGGCAGGCTCGGGGATCAAACCCCTGGCCCCTACGCCTGCTTGCAGGTGCCTCAGTCCACTATTTGGCCAGCCCTTGACCTCAATCTTGAAGCATGTCAATGACATGAACTTCTTTGTTTGGCTCTTTTTCAGTCCCTTTTCTTTCACTGTGTAACCCACTGCTCTCAGTCTCCCACTGCTTTGAAGGACACACACACACACACGTACGCACACAGGCACACGCACACTCGCACGCACACACCCCATGAGGCTCACTGTCATTACGCTGCATATGACACGGTGCCTTCTCTTGCTTCTTTCCTACTTGTTGTCTTGGACCTTCCACAATTGGACAGCAACGCAAATAAGCATGGATCAGTCTGCACTTATCCTATTTGGGTAGTGACTCTTGGACGTACAAACATCTTTCATGAAACTTCCGGAATTTCAGCAGTTGCCCTTCAGGTACACGTTCCGCCCAGTCCCTCCGTGGCTTCCGCTGTGAGATGCTGGCACAGCCGGGGCAGGCACGGGCTCCTGCAGCCACCGACTCTTAGCTCTTCCCTGTGCTCCAGGGTGCATAGTCTCTGCTGGCCTATCTTTATTTTCACTGACTGTGGTGCCAACTCACTTCTGCCAGTGAGGGCTTCTAATGAATATTTATTTTGGTCATTGTCCAATTGCAACATTTTCACTTAGTTTTTTATGATTTCCACCTACCAGTATTCTTCCTTATCAGTTTTTATATTTCCTTCATTTCCTTAACTGTAGCTTCCTGTCCTTCGGTGAGTATCTTTGTAATACCTACTCTGAAATAGTTTTCTGTTATGTCCAACCTCTGGGGCCCCTAAGAAATAGCTTTCTTTGTCTCTTTTCCCCATGCAAGGATTATACTTCCCTTTTTTTGTTCAAGTATCACAATTTTATTTTTATTTATTTTTTTTTTTTTGAGACAGGGTCTTACTGTGTAGCTCAGGCTGGCCTTGAACTCATTATGTAGACAGGCTGACCTCAGACTCGTGTCCACCCTCCGCTTTCGGCTTCCTAGGCATATCTCACTGTGCTCAGCTTTGTCTCATAAATGTCTGCCAAAGACCCCATAACTTAGACAGTATGCTATGGCAACTGTAAATTCTTAATTCTAACACCTCCAGTAGGGGTTCCTGTTTTTGCTTATGTTTAATGAAATACTTGCATTAATTCCATAGTTTCACCTCTTCTGCAGCTTTTAGCTACTCGTATTTTTGTTCATTTTCTCTCCCCCACTCCATTAACTAAGGATAGAACCCACAGTGCTATAAGCTATGTTCCTAGCCTTTCTTTCTGTTTCTTTTTTTAAGACAGCATCTCTCAGTTGCTCAGGCTGACCTCAAACTTGTGATGCTCCTGCCTCAGCCTTTCAAGTAGTTGGGATAAAAACAGGCACCTCTGTACCTGGCTCTTTTTTTTTTCTTTCTTTCTTTTTT